ATAGAGAGAGAGGGGGGGGGGATGGATTGGTAAGAGGTTGGATAGAGAGGGATGGGGTTGGTAGTTAGTCAAATCTACCCGATCTTCCCAGGAAATGCTGTGCAGTCTTGGCTAGTTTCATATTATCATTTGGTCAGATGTTGGGGTCACTTTTACAAAGAAGTCGCCTTTGTACCATTCTAATTCGATGATTAGTGTTCTTCGTAAATTAGAATACAAAGGACAAATAGGAAAAATGATAACAATCTTCACAGGGACGCTCACACCCGCAATCAGCTGAACCTATTAGATTTGCTCTGAAAAGATCATAATTTAATGAGCTAGCTCGATTTCTAAGACGACAAAGGAGTATTTTTAATTTTCTCGGCCCATAGTTTACGAAATGCTTGCTCAACAGATTATTTACTTTCATAGACTTTTTATATTAGACTTGAAAGAATTTAGTGAGGGTGAGTTTCTTACAGTTTTGTTCAAGTTGAAGGAAAGAAAGAATGTTTTGATAGTTGTAAACGGAAGTGCTGTTCCCGCAGTAAATGTGCATTTTGCAAGTTATACGGAGCTATATTTCCAATATACATTGGTAATAAGTCAGTAAGAAATTTAGGTAACATGTTATTTACTATAGAATAAAACAAGGAAAGTTTCCGAGCATCTCTTCTTTTCGAAAGGGGTAACCATCCGGTTTCTTGATATAAGAAATCTTTTTTAGTGAATGTGGGCAGCCCTGTGACTATTCTTGCAGCTTCTAGATGGATTTTTCTAGTAACAGGGCATTTGTTTCACCGCAGTTGTCCCATACTTCACATGCATATTCCAGTAGTGGTCGAACATAAGTAAGTTATCGTTTTTCTAATGTATTTCTTTTAAAAATAAGTTTTAGTTTACGAAGGGTTGCTATCTACTTTACTGACAATATGTTCAACATGAACATTCCATTTACAGTCGTTAATAAGAATAACACCTAAGTGCTTATGTTGGTTAGTAATTTGAATGGGGGTGTTATTAAATGTGAATGCAGGGATGAATGGAAGTTGCCGATTTGAGATGATTAGGGCCTCAGTTTTGGTAGGGTTAAAAGACATCAGTCATTCTTTGGACCAAACTTCAAGTTTTCTCTGCTCAGATTTTGCATTGGATAAAATTGTGTTTAAGTCTTGGGACGAATAAGAAAGAGAGGTATCATCAGCAAAAAGTCGAGAGAGAGAGAGGAAAAATCACAGGAAATATCATTTATGTATATAAGGAAGAACACCCGCTTTTATGGTCTTTAAGGAAGAAAGAGAATCATTGATAAAAACCGCCTGTTGTATGTTTGAAAGATAACTAGTTATCCACTTAAGAAGAGGACCAGAAATGCCATAATTATTCAATTTGTGCCAGACGCGGTCAAAAGCTTTTGAAAAATCACAAAGTATTGATAGAGAATGTTCGTAATTGTCTAAAGAGGTAACTATTGAATGATATAGCTCAATAAGTTGATGTGTCGTGGAATGGTTAGGTAAAAATCCTGACTGATATTTGTAAAAAAAAAAGGTCATTTTCAATCAAAACGTTATATATATGTTTATAAACCAAACGCTCAAACAGTTTATAGAAAGGCATGACATGAGCGATTTTCCAGTTATCAGGATATGTACAAGAAGACAGAGAATAATTAAAAATAATGGATAGCGGTACATAAATCTCGCTAGATAATAATTTGATCATTTTATGACTAATACTGTCAGGACCTGGTGCCTTATTTACATCTAGAATTTTTATAATATCTTCAACTTCACTGGGAATTATATTTATTTCTGATAAGATGGAGTCAGTCCTCCTCTCAAAAAAAAAGACAATTTGTTATCTGTATCAATTTCTGTTAACGAACACACAGAACTAAAGTAGTTATCTAAGAGTTCACATTTTCTATCGTTGTCATAAATTATTTCATTTGTAGAACCGTCAAATAATGGGGATATTTCGGTGGGTTTTTTAGCTTTAAGAATATTTCGGAGAATAAATCTTAGGATTGTTGTTACTTTTATCAATTACTGTATTTGTGCTATCATAAGATATTTCTTTAGCTCTCTTAATCATATTATTTACTTATATATTTCTCATGTATTTGTACTTGTTTTTGTTGCTCTCACTGTTATTGTTAAATATTATTTTTTTAAGTCTATCTCTTTTCCTAATATTACGTCTTAACAATCCATTCATCCACGGTTTATCACTATCGCGTACTAATATTACTTTTGATGGTATTCATTTGTCAACGTCATCAACAAATTTCTCGGTAAAGAAATTGCACATTTCATTAACATAATAAGTTGGCAAGATTGTCTAACCAAGGAATACTATTTATCGTGTCTTTAAGTTTGTTGACATCAGCTTGGTCGTATAACCACACCTTTATTTTAAAATAATGTTTAATTTTAGCAGGAATATTCACAATTGCAAAAACAGATTGCAAAAACAGCATCATGAACGCTAATAGTTCGCTCAATTTCAATAACATCAGAAAAACACACATTAACAGTATCACTAACAATAATTGGGTCAAGATAACAATTAACCAGCAACCCTGGAACTGTATCTAACCAATACGGAAACTATGGAGGGAAACGGTACATGAACAGCACGAGGCTACAGGTGAAAATATTTCATCCACGGACATGGTGATAATGGAAAGGAGATTTTTGCGGTAAATATAAATGAACAGAGTTGTCCCATCCAAATCGATCAGAAAAGCCTATGTCTCTGAAGAACCCTTTGTTCTTACGAAAAACAGGCTGATATCGACACAGACGAATTGGCGGAGAAATCAATCATCAAAGTGAACCATAACAAGATAACAGGGCTTAATGGGGCTGCATTCTATTTTTGTTGCCAATGAGGGCCATATAGAAAAACGTTTTTCACTTATATTTTTAATGACAGATTTGTCTATTGGTTTAGTAAATAGCGGTGTCATGTAAAGTTGTGCATTAAATTTTTACAGACAAAATAAACAAGAACAGTCCCATTTTTAAGCTACTTTAGATCTTGTACAATACTAATATAAGAAGCTAAAGAAGATTGGGATTGTATGATTTATAATTTATAGCTGTACTAATTTTGATATTCATATATATATATGTATCAATATGTCAATTTGATAGGGTACGATGTATAGCTTCACCAACCCACAGATAATGAATATTGGTACGTGTTAAGTCCTAAAATCGTTACAAAGCTTCTTACTAAGATCAACTCAACAAGTTGTTATGAATGGGTCGTCATAACAACCAAGAGAGGCCACACATAGGATACTAGAGGGAAGTGTTGAAGATATGTACGCCCGTTACTTTATCAAGATAATCGTGTAATGTTACAAAGAAATGTCCACAAAAAATGTAAGTGGGCGCAAGACTGGAGTACATATGTCTGCTACACAACCTACCCAAATGTCAACATATGGGGAAAGACAACACCTCAAAAGGCTCCAACTTAAAAGTACCNGGGGGGGGGGACTGAAGAATAGGAACTGGAAGTGAGCTTTTACTTCAAACTGGAGTTTAATGAGCATGGAATGTTTCTGTCAAAAAGGCGAAAAAAAGTCAGAATATTTGTCATTATATACAATTTTATATTCCACTAATTCTACACCACACCTTAAATACTGTAGTGTTATCTGGTCACCTCCGCAACCGTGCTATTGATATCTGGAAGAGAACAGACGGAGCGAAAATGAGGTAGCAGCTGATAATTTCAACATTTTTACCTGATTACA